CGGTGAGAGGGTGGGAGGCTCCGCTCCAGGAAGGCCAGGCCATCTTCGCGAATCCAAAATGCGCACCCCACCACTCGGGGGGCCTCCAGAGCGAGCCCCTTGGCCCTCCCGTGTACAGGCCACTACAAAAGTCTCCCTTCTGCTCCCCTCGTCACAGACGGTCCAGGATGGTCTTCTCTGGAGGGAGGATGGCAAACTGATGAAAGGAGACCTGTTTTGTTGTTGGAAGCCAACATTTGCACCGTACAATTTCAGTGTTACTTTATTAAAAAAAATTTTGTTTTGAAGTTTATTTGAGAGAGAGCGCATGCGGATGACAATGGGAAGGGGCAGAGGAGGAGGGAGAGAGAGAGGGTCCCAAGCAGGCTCCACACTACCAGTGCAGACACCCACTTGAGCCTCGAACCCATGAACAGTGAGATCATGACCTGAGCCGACATCAAGAGTCAGATGCTCAAGCTACTGAGCCGCCCAGGTGCCCCCTCATTGATACTTTTAAAACCGAGACCAGATATTCCGGGAGAGAATTACTGCCAGCTGCACTGAATATGGGAAATACAGCAGTCCTCTCTCGCGTATCAACAGATAAACTCTTCCTTGTAGCTCCGTAGTGAAGTCTCTAACTTCTCTGATAACACTTCCTCACGCTGGGAAAAGAAAACAACTGCCCTAACAAAAAACAGCCCAAGGCTCGTGAAATGCGTTCCAGAATGAAGCGAGGCACTCTTCCTGTTACTGTCTCTGAATCTCTTCCTTTCGCACAGTTCTGGACTACTCTCTGCATCACTGATCCAGGGCTTGGATTTGTTACTTGGCCTGTTAAACCTTTTGCAGAGGAAAGTCGACACAGCCCGCGCTGATGCAAATGTATCTGCATTTGCTGAGACACGGAGCGCCGTTTCAGGCTTCTGGGCAGTAGGGAGCTGAGGGTTTGGATGTATTTGCAATCTGGACCTGCCACTTACTGGCACGGTGACTCTGGGCAAGTTTGTTAATGACCCTCTCAGCCTCGTGCTATCTGGGAACCCATACTATGCCCCTTACTGGACTTGTGGGCCCACGCAGTCATTTAACCTTTACATACTTCATTTTCCCAACTGCAACGTAGTAACAAAGTGCAGGTTTTGTGCTTGGCCCGCTGTGAGGATAAACTGCATGATTATTCCAAGGAGCTCTTTTCAAAACAAAATCGTAAAATATTACCCTTGTTTATGTACCACGATGCTCTTTGGAGATGGTAGCTGTTATAAAGAAATTAATGACCGAAAAGTCACTTTTCCCTTGTTCCTTTTTCTTCAGGAAAAAGAAAAAAAAAATCCAGACTCTTAGCTCAAGTTTCTGAGATTACAGAAATTCATGGGACAAAGATTACAGTTGAGGGAGGAATGGGCAAGTTTTTCTGAGAGGTTTTCTTACAGGGAAAATAGTATCAATCAAGGATGCTTCAAAAGTGTAAGTGAATGCATTCAGCTTCTAAAGATTTGATCCTAATCTAGCTTCTGCTTTTATTTTAAAAAAATTTTTAATGTTTATTTTTTGAGAGAGAGAGAGAGAGAGAGAGAGAGGGAGGGAGGGAGGGAGGGAATATGAACAGGCGAGGGGCAGAGAGAGGAGGAGACAGAATCCCAAACAGGCTCCAGGCGTCGACCTGTCAGCACAGAGTCCAACATGGGTCTCAAACTCACGAACTGTGAGATCATGACCTGGGCCTAACTGACTGAGCCACCCGGGGCCGCCCCAGCTTCTGCTTTTCAATTCCATATTCACTAAAGGCCCCTTTCTATAAAATCATGAAACACATGTGAAGTTATTTTTAGCTTGAAAGGAAAATGGTAAATTATTTTGGGGAAAAAAGTATAGTTGATGTCTCATTCGATTCTCCTGACACAAATACTTAGTGACTTGTCATCTACACTTTCTTTTTCTTCTTTTCTTTTCTTTCTTTCTTCTTCTTTTTTTTGGCTTTATTTTCTCCTTAAGCAGAAAGTGTTTTACTCATTGAAATGAGACACTTTAGATTCTAGTGATAAACCTCAATCTCCTGAAGGATAGACCATTCTATTTTGAGAGTTGTTCACAAAAAAATATTATTGGTTTCTGAAATGACATTTCTTTCTCTTTGGGGACAGCGTTCCAAGCTGGACTGAGTTTTACAAGTGGGTTTATTACGTGGCTCCGTAAGACATAGAGACGGCATGTGAACTGTGGAGGTGCCCAGCTGAGCTGTGCCACATCCTCAGGCCTCCACGAGCATCTTAACCTAGGTGGGATTTGGGATAAATGGGCTCTTGGATTTCTTCGTATCGTTTCTACCGGATGTCATGTCCACGTCCACGCACTTGGTAACATGTTTGATATTGCACCGACTACTGCCAAATCCTCGCCAGCTCACCCGTGAAGATACTGCCATTAGTTGATATAATGTTTTCTGGGCTTAGGTGTAAGGCTAAAGTCAAATTTCTTAAATTGAAAAAAACAGGGCATTTAAGTTAAGCTCCTCTGGGAATGTATCCAAAATACAAATCTGCGTTTGTCGATTTATAAATTTATTCACACATCCACTCAGAAATAGTCAGTAGCACGTCTCTACTGAGTTGGCTGAGTTCCTCAGCCCAGGCCATTCCAGTCTTGGGGCCTGGTGACTTGGAGGTGGGGGAGGAAAGTGAGGAAGGAAGGGGCATTAGGGTGCCCCACCCTCCTGTGGGGAGTCAGGGAAGCCTCCTTCAGAGAGGTACTTCTATTCCCAGCCCCCCAGCTCACTTTAGAATACTGGTCTGGGTCACTGGCAGACACAAAAGTTAAGTCCTACTTCAGGAGAAAACAAAAGAGCAGGAGGCCGTACAACTTGATTTTATATATATACAAAAAACCCTCCAACTACAGAGCTTCAACTACTCAGGAGGATAAGACCTGATTATCCCTATGAAGGAAGAAACCCCCTTTCTGGAATTCACCAAGCAGATGCAGCCTTGACATTTACATCCTTGATACTCTAAACATTCAAGGTGATGTTAAGGCAGCTAATGGAGCGCTCAGCATTTGATTTCACAGCCTGTACGGACTTAGTGTGCTGAATTTTCTATGTGGAAGGTTCAAGAAGGTTCAAGAATGGGGTATTCTGGAAGGCCCAGAGCATTTACCGACTGCTTTAAATTAGCCATCTGCTCATGCGCCTTCTAAGGTCACTCCCAGATACCCTTAGTTTTTAAATGAGCACACAGAGCATGTAAACGCTAACACCCTGACCTGTAGTGGTCAAGGCAGAGGAGCACAGAGTCTAATGACAAATGACAGGGCGCTGTGTCCACCCGGGAAGACGCGCTTGGTAGTAGCCTCAGGACCCAGTGACCTTCTCTGCATAATTCAAGTGCCGCAGTGGAAGAGCCGGAGGCTTCCTCGAAGGAAAGACCCTAATTTCGGATCTGGGTGGGTCCATACTATTAGGAGGAAGAATAAATGTTGCACTGGCTGAAAATATGACAAATCTTCACATTTATTTTAGAGCTTGCAATCTGGAGGTTTTCTCTTTAAAACGCAGAAAACTCCCTGAATATTTTACTTATGACTCTCTGATTCCCTTCACAGAACTAAAAATTAACCCTTCAATGGGATTCCTCGCTCCAAAGCCAGCTTCCCAAACTGTGTTCATAAAGATACTGCTGAATGATTTAATTTACCATTTTAACATATATTTTTTCCTAATAAGTGAAAAGCAGTATTATACAAAAAAACCCCCAAAAAAACAAAAAACAAAAAATAAGCTGGCAGTGCGAGAAGATTTAAAGCCCAATGAGTAAGTCGGCAGTTTTGTTTTTTTCCCCCTACAGGTCAATACATCCCATCAGACAACAGGTTCCCATGAGCCTGTGGGGCCGCAGGGGAAGGCTGGGCTGACGATCACAGAACCCATGTGAGGAGGAAGTCCTTCCAGATCCATTCAAAGTGAAACAAACAAACAAAACCAAGGATATTTATTTGGGGAGCAAAAAAAAAAAAAAAAAAAAAAAAAAAAGGAAAAAAAATGAGAAAAAAGGAGTTTTCGTAGTGACAGCAAAAGAAATCTGGCTTTTATTCTGCATATTCAGGTTTCATTTCATTGACTCAGGGTGTCTGTCCTTCATTAAAAACAAATGGTGCTTGATTCTAATGTGCCAAAAATCTGTTCTTCCCCTTGCCCTCTCTCCCCCATCTTTCCGGAATCAAACAAGGGAAGAGCCTTCTCGCTGTTCCTCACGGCAGGTTAATGGCACCTGTGTTCTGATTTATTGCGTGGGCCGCCTTCCCTGGCCCCGTGTAAGTTAGGATATCAGCCTGGAAGGTGACACAGTAGGAGTGACCTTTCTTCACTAATCACTGCACCTCAGTTACTACTGACACAGCTCATTATAAAAAGAAATCCTTTACGAGCCAGCTTTCAAATCCAGCCCCACTTTGATTTTCTTAAGAACAAAGATTATACTTCCATATAAAAGCTTCTGATGCACAATTCTGTCAACCGGGGTACTGAAGTAAAAAAAGGCACCCTGTTAATTGTCTGTGGTTATCAAGGGATGGCAAACTGTATCAAAGATAGGCCTGCGATCCTGGCTTTCATTATGGAGGTCAGAATATTTATTGACTGCTTCTTATTAAAATTTTAGAAGGACGTCAATCATGGTGGCTGCCCCCCGGATAGAGGAACCTTGTTGGAAATTCCCCCGCAATCAATCCCGTTAAAAACCAAAACCAAAACCAAAACACAACACTTGCGGATGCTACGCAGGGCTTCTCGGCCTCTCTGGCTCCCACCCACCGCTGGAGAAGCCCAAGGTGGGAGAGTGACTCCCGAGTGACTCCCCAGCAGCAGGCTCTCATGTTTACACCCAAGTCAGAAAGTGAACAGGGCTGCTAATCGCTGTCTGTTCGTCTTCCCTGCTGGCGTTCTCTGCCTCTGAACCCACCCCGAACGCAGACGGGGTTGAGCAGCACGCTCAACAGCAAAGGCACGTGTCAGGACTTACCAGCCATCTGCTGAATGCCACTGAACGCACCCAGGTTGCTGGAGGAGGTGGCCTGCTGCAGGAGCTGCAGAGAGAAAAGTGGACCGTCAGACCAAGGCAGGGACAGGACAGGGCCACGCCGAGCCACACGGGGGCCCGCCCGCTCTCCCTCGCGCGTACCCAGCCGCTTGCTGCGACTATTCACGGACAGAAGGCTCCCAGAGTCGGGGCTGTAAATCCATATTAATGTCTAATCTCTATTAAGAAACACAGACACCGGGGAAACTCAGTTAACACTGCTGCCTTAAAACAATCAATTTAGTCTTTTTAACAACCAGGTGTTAAATCTATCGAAACCAATGCGGCGTGACTAATGCTCTCTCTGTAGCCTAGCGGTTACCACCACTCATCTCTGCCAATCAAAGCCCATCCCTCGCTCTCCCACTTTCCTTCCCCGCTCGGTGTCCTTCATGAGAAGCACACGGAACTCAAAGACTCTTGGGCCAACAGAGACATCACCACGGTAACTATGGACATAAGCATAGGTAGGCACAGCTACGCCGGTGACCACACGACCAAGACAACGGTCACAATTTTAAGGTGGTCTTCACCGTCAGAGAGGAACATACTATTTGTCAAAACTTACAAGTATCTGGTGTGATGTGCAATGACGCTGGGCAGATGTGTTGTCATCTTTTAAAGCCCAAGTTAAAATCAGGATCTCTGAGCTTTTCCTTAGAGCTTTCAAAAACACCCCACTCCCGTCCCACCCTCAATCAGTGGGTATCGCAAGGTAAAGGCAGGTGGCTGCTGTCCTCAAGGGCTCCTTTATCTGTCTGATTCAGCTGAATTATAGATTAACTTCCGTCCTATACCACTAACCTGGATTTACTGATACTCTTTTGGATAAGGTAGATCAACAAAGACATAGGAACAAGCACGTAGTTCTCTCCTATACGCAAATGTACGTGGATACCAAATTCATCAAATTTATTACTGAGGGATGTTATGATACTATATGCTCAGGAGGAACAGGACCAATTCATGACTTCAAAAACAGCTTTCAGAATTTATTTGGAGTGCTGCAGAACCACACAACACTGTCCTTGCTCTGGGTAAGGGTAGATTTTTTTTTTCAGTTCAGTGCAAAACCGGGCCTACAATAGGGTAGGATTCAAAACTGAGCATCTCTCCATGGACTTAAAATCACCAAGTGGAGTGGAGTATCAGTGGCTGATTCAACCCGAGTCTCAATTACAATGATATTACGGGGATTAACAGTGACAGGTAACAAAAAATGCCAGCGATGTTCACTCATCCCTCCTGGCTTGTTGATATAGACTGTCTAGGGATTACACACAGACCCAGAGACACACACGGGGAGGAAGAAGTTAGAGATGAACCGCTCTGATAGAAATCCTTTATTCGGGTCTGGTATCTTGGGTTTCCCATTCTCTTGCAGTTGTGAGCCCTTACTCCCTTTTCTATTAGGTATGCTTAAAAATTAAAGAGAAGTAAAATTAAGTTAGCTTTGAGGCCATTTTGAGGAATTAATAATGCCAACTGAGGTGTGTGGAACTCGTGGGAAGTGTCCTTAAACGATTGCCAAGGGTTCCACCCACTGATAACCATCCTCGGGTGGGACAGAGTCAGAATCTACCCCTCGACACAGAAGGAGGGAAGGCCTGAGAAGCCAACGGCCCTTCCGAAGAAATGGGACTTCCAACTGAAAGGGGCAGAACCGATATGGCAGAGAAAGAATGGAAGCCCGTGGCAGAAGCAAACATAGTTAAGAGCATATGAAAGTATGTTTTTGCAAGCGAGGCTGAGATGAATTCTCTTTCAGGGTACAGAACTAATCTGCAGATGCAATCAAAGAAACGTGCCACAGATTTTTGTGAGCCGTGGGGCATGGGAGATGTGCCAGGAGACTGGGGACAGGCACAGGTGTCTTGGTTTTTAGAAATGACAGAGTAGGAAGCTGGTTTCTTAGAAATCACAAGAAGGTGAGCCTGACATCGATCTCTGATACCAATTCTGGTACATGCAATTAAACAGGTGTCCCGTGAACGACCGAAAAGCACAAGTTCGGGAAAACCGAATCACCGTTAAGCTGGACTCATTTCTCGTTTTGTACGAGTTAAGGTGGCGAGACCAAGAAGACGATGCGGCACGGCATATACGGATCTCGGCAAGACATGTGAGGAGATCTCTCATGGTGCCTTTGTGGCTACGACAGAGAAATGGCTAGAAGGCGCCTAGTCAACTCAGACCACACTTTTGTTAACGGCTCAGATGAAGACGGGAGGAGAGCGTGCCTCGTTCAGTGAGAAAACACGTATCGAGTAGCTATCACAGCCAGACCCCGCCGGAAGGCGGGCAGGGTGGGCCGGGAGAGGGCCAAGAGCCACAGCCGCAGCCAGCTGCACAGAGGGCACACGGAGGGCTGAGGTGCCACTTGCCCGCCGGCAGCTCGGTCTTGGAAACGCTGCGGAGCCCCTCTGAGCCTCTCCGTCTGCACTGGTACAGGCAGGCTCTTCCCTTCCAAGATCACAGGGAGGACTGCTGTACGGAAGTGCACGGGCTGTTACAAGGTGAGCCTAATGGATCACGCGATCCCGAGGGGGACAGTTACCGTGTCAAGTAACAGGATCGGGACAGAACACATGTGGACGCATGCATGCACACACTCACACCCACACGTGCGTGCCGAGAGAGGCCAGCACACGCCACCCAGACTCAAGAGGGGAAGTTATACTAGTCAAGGTGAAGTCCTGTGTTCAGGTGCCAAGGCGGAAAAAGGGGCCGGAGCACCATGGTTCGGCAGTAGTTCAAGTAAAAACCAATGAAAACCCAGACCGGCGTTAGCTGCCTTCTGCCTCACGTGCGACATGGTTAGTACAAGGGCCGCTGTAAGGCTGCATTAAGACAGTTTCTTTAGAGAACAATGTGGAGGTTCCTCAAAAAATTAAAAATAGATCTACCCTATGACCCAGCAGTAGCACTGCTAGGAATTCACCCAAGGGATACAGGAGTGCTGATGCACAGGGGCACGTGTACCCCAATGTTTATAGCAGCACTCTCAACAATAGCCAAATTATGGAAAGAGCCTAAATGTCCATCAACTGATGAACGGATAAAGAAATTGTGGTTTATATACACAATGGAGTACTACGTGGCAATGAGAAAGAATGAAATACGGCCCTTTGTAGCAACGTGGATGGAACTGGAGAGCGTGATGCTAAGTGAAATAAGGCATACAGAGAAAGACAGATACCATATATTTTCACTCTTATGTGGATCCTGAGAAACTGAACAGAAACCCATGGGGGAGGGGAAGGAAAAAAAAGAAAAAAAAAGAGGTTAGAGTGGGACAGAGCCAAAGCATAAGAGACTCTTAAAAACTGAGAACAAA